GCGCCCCCGGGGGCGCACACCCGGTGATCTACGTGATCGCTGTGTCCTACGGACACAGCTGATCACGTGATGTGGTAAAACGCCAATCACAGCGGCCTTTTACCACGTGATCAGCCGTGTCCAATGACACGCTGATCTCCGGGATATGCAATTGCCGGTTCTCAGCTGCACTTTCCTCACGTTGTCAGAGGGAGAGGAAAATACTGCCGAGAATCGGCAGTTGTCAGAGCAGGGATAGGCACCGATCATCAGGGCACTGATGATCAGTGCCCTGATGATCGGTGCCCAGCAGTGCCACCCACCAGTTCTGCCCACCTGTGCCCAGCAGTGCACTCACCTGTGCTCAGCAGTGCCACCCAGCAGTACCTCCTACCTGTGTCCACCAGTACCACCCACCAGTGCCCATCAACGCAGTGCTGCCAGTCAGCGCCACCAGTCAGTGCCCAGCGGTTGTGCCAGTCAGTGCCTAGCAGTTGCGCCAGTCAATGCCTATCAGTGCCCAGCAGTGATGCCAGTCAGTGCCACTTATCAGTGCTATCTATCAGTACCCATCATCAGTGCCGCCTATCAGTGCCACCTATCAGTGCTGCCTATCCGTGACACCTCATTAGTGCTGCCTATCAGTGCCGCCTATCTGTGCCACCTCATTAGTGCTGCCTATCAGTGCCGCCTATCAGTGCCCTTCAAAGCTTCCTATCAGTGCCCATCAGTGCCGCCTCATCAACGCACATCAGTGAAGGAGAAAAATGACCTGTGTGAAAATTTTTATAATAAAAATAAAGAAAAATTTTTTTTTTTCAAATTTTTTGCGTTTTTTGTTTATAGCGCAAAAAGTAAAGCACCCAGCGGCGATTAAATACCACCAAAATAAAGCTCTATTTGTGAAAAAAATGATAAAAAATTTCATATGGGTACAATCTTGCATGACCGCGCAATTGTCAATCGAATTGCAACAGTGCTGAAAGCTGAAAATTGGTAAAGAAGGGGGTATAAGTGCCCGGTAGGCAAGTGGTTACAGGTGGAAAAAGTTCTGAAATGATTTATCTTTGTCTCATTTTTTTACATCACAGAAACCTGACATTTTAACAGGGGTGTGTAGACTTTTTATATCCACTGTATCTAAAAACTGAGGTGGATGAGGATCTTCTTCCTACTAATGATCAGTACAGACAATCAGTGGGGGCTTTGCTATATATTGCAATCACTACATGTCCAGACATTGCAGCCACCATGTCGCTTCTATGTAGATGCATGAGTGAACCATGTCACTGGACATCAATCAAGAGAGTCATGAGATATCTCAAACAAACGAAGGACTTGAGTCTGAAGTCTGTAGTTGATGATTTGAACCTCATAGGATAGGATATGTGGACTCTGAATTGGCAGGTGACCTAAGCACTCACAAAACCACAAGTGGTTCTTGTTCATATTAGGAAACAATCCTATATCTTAGTCTAGCAAGAAGCAGACCTCAGTAACTCCGACTTCTACAGAGGCAAAATACATTGCTGCTGCCTATGCCAGTCAAGATGCGTGGTTATGTTAACTGCTTGAAGATCTTGGAAAGCCAATGTCCCTATCTACAATCCTTTATTAGGACACTCAAGGATGTATCAAACTTGCCACCAATGAGAACATCAATGCAAGAACAAAGCATATTGATGTCAGACATTATTACATTCATAATCTGGTTGAACAAAATGTAACTGTGTTTACACATTGTGAAACTAATAACGTGATTGCAGATGCTTTGACAAAACTGCTTACAAGACACACATTTATAGAAATGAGATCCAAAATGGGGCTAATATAAGGAGTAGTTGTTGAGTGGGGGTGTTGGTATACAGTATTCATGTATTTTGTGCAACAACTACTTCAGTATTCAGTAGAGGTATATTCTTCAACCAGTCAATGGCAGTAGTTCTAAATTTGTAGCTGCATCTATGGTAAACTCTATGTCTTTTCTCTGAATAAAGTTTCCTGTTTCCTGTTTGCAGTGAAGCAGAAAAGCACATGTGGACTGTGTTCTGTAGGGATATATACAGAATTTATAACACCAGCAGACAGGCAGAACTCACAACATGAAAGGAGATTTTTCAAGTAATCTTATATTGGATTGTCAAAAAGGTATTGTTTGTGATGTTATAAAATTAAAACGTATGCTGTAACCATAGATTTCCCTTAAGGCAGTCTTTTAGCATGGGCTAATAATAGAATACATTGTTTGTTTTTATATCTAATACATTATATATTTTCTAAAAACATATACCCACCTGTGCCTCCCGGGTGGGTGAACAATGGCTTCTGCAGGAGTGTACTGATAAGTGCTCCTGTACGAATGAGGCCTTAAACGAATGCTCTGACCAAACTATGGACATTTAAGTATGTGCATATCCTTAAAGTGGTTGTAAAGGCTGAAGGTTTTTTACCTTCATGCATTCTTTGCATGAAGGTAAAAACCTTCTGTGTGCAGCTCCCCCACAGGCCCCCCCCCCCCCAATATTTACCTTAGCCCCCTCTCAATTCAGCAATGTGCACTGGAGCTTCGGCTGTCCCATGTCTCTCTCTCCTCATTGGCTGAGACACAGCAGCATGAGCCATTGGTTCCCACTGCTGGCAATCACAGCCATTGAGCCAATGAGGGGGGAAGTGAACCGCGGCTCTATATGTCTTATGGATGCATAGAGCATGGCTTGGGAGCGAACATGCACCAGTGCCCCCACAGCAAGCGGCTTGCTATTGCGGGCACTGGTCAAGCAGCCAGGAGTGCTGGCAAGGAATCCAAGAAGAAGAGGATTGGGGCTGCCCTGTTCAAAACCACTGCACAGAGCAGGTATGTATGACATGTTTGTTATTAAAAAAACAAGCCTTTAACCTGTTCACACTGACAGTATGCAAATATGTGGCCTCTCAGTGGCTGGGCCTTGAAGCTGAGCGGCCACATATTTGCATACCAAAGGTAAACAAACATGTGCCAAGAGCCTCACAGAAAGGTTCTGATCACTACTTGCATTCGAGACCTTTCCGATCATGTGACCACTGTGACAGCCAATCATGACAGTCACATAACCCTAAACCCCGCCCCGCCTTCTGGCATCACAAACCCCTTAAAAGGTGGGAAGCTCTGGCGCCAACGGGGTTAATACCACTTTAACATGCAATAAATTAGATTTGAAATTCCACAATGACCTTTGTAGCTACAGCCACAGTGAGGCAATTCATCTTTAAAGTTCACAGCATAAGCACAGAAGTCTTTATCTCCAAGCAGCTCGGCTCTCTTCCTGTTCATTCCTCCAGAGTACTTGCTCTGTTTTTTCATTAGAAATTAGAAGGCTGGGTTACTGCTGGCAGTGGAGCTGAGTCAGCCTAGATAAGGACTTAATTTCTTTTGAGGATGAATTGCTATACAGTGCTTGCAACTAGAGGTCAGTGAGGGCTTATTTTAAAACTCCTTACTGCATGATAAAATATATAAATATTTAAATATATATTGCCTGGTTGGGGGAAGGGTATGTTCAGGCATTACCCAAATGTATCCCTAACTTCCCTCCCCCTCTTCAAAGCATGACCCAGTATTCCTTTTTTCTTTTCGTTTCGATAAGAAATTGTATTTCTCCCTGTGACATCACTGGATTTGAGCCATTCTTGCAGGGACAACTGCTGAGAGCTTTCCACATAATGTAGGGCAGCCTCTTGAAGGCAAGACAGCAGCATTGTTTTTCTGGGAAAAAGAACAATGTGAAGGACAGAGAGGTGTGGTGGTAGGACTGACAAAGCTGGTTGGGATTTGAGTCCAGAAAAGGCACTGTGTTGTCAGACCAAACAAGAAATGAGAAGCACAATGTACTTGCAGCAATAGGGATACAGCATGGAGAAATATATTTGTACAGTATTGCAGAGGTGTACTGAATATGTTTATTGAATTTTGTTCTGATTTACATGTTTGCTAAAGCTACCCAAAGATATTAGATTTCCAGCCCTAATATGATGACAAGCAGGATGTCTATAGGTTCTTTGACATCAGCAACCAAAAGCAAATGATGGGAATAAAATGGTCATCGGGAGAGTGTACTTTACACACTGACATAAACACATACTGTATATGATACTATCACATGTCAGCCTGGGTTCACACTGATGCGGTCCAGAATTCGCAGTGTTTTCTGTGAATTCCGCACCACATCAGAATCGCGCCCCGTTCATGCAAACTGCTGCTGGTGCGTATGTTAACATAACCCCAAAATTGGTCCGCAAAACTTGGTGCAATGTGCAGAATCGGATTGAATATCCCTACTTAACTTCCTCCAAGCTCTCACTCATGGACGGATGGATAAGGGTAATTTGTGACCAGCTTGTAACTCCCAAGCCTTCGCTAATGATTCCTTCGCTAATTTACCCTGAATTCACTCTCATGGATGGATAGATGAAAAATGCAAAAGAAAAGATACCAAAATAGCATAATACTGTTAACTTCCTTAGCAGTCGGATTATGTCCATATTTCTATGCTCAAAGCAGTACATTTTTTTGCATGGAAATATGTCATTTTTTTATTGTAGGCCTGTAAGTTTTAGGAATAACTCACTGAAATCTGTCCGAACAAGAGTCTAGTAAACATCCCGGGTATGTTAAAATTTGAAACACAAAATCATAAATTATAATTTAACAAATAATCATAAAAAATAATAATATAATAATAATACATATAATTCAATAATATAATCAAACCAAAAACACTGAAATTTGAAATATAGCGCCAAGTTTGCACATCACTGAGCAAAGTCGCAAAATCGTTTTCAGTGTTTGATGACGAATTTCCCCACAAATCATTATCACTCAATTCTGCAAGTGGTTCTAATTTACTATCGCTGTTCTCTAGCTGGTCTAAAACCGATTTTGATCTAAAGGGACGCTTTTTGGACACCATGGACATTTCTCAGTTTCCAGGCAGAAAGAACAGTAAAAATGCAGGCAGGGCACAGAACAAAGCACTAGGGATAAAATGTATGTGAAATGGTTTGATACAGGAATGTTATACTATGTGATTTTAGTGAATTTAGTGAATGCCACTTTTTGTCATTTTCAAATTTCCCGCCGTTCCATCCCCATACGTCCCGACGCTCGCAGGGAACGGAACCCAGAAGACAGATGCCGCATCGGCCGGAGGACATTGCTGGGGACACTGCAGGGGGGACTACGCGGGAGCGCAGGACAAGGTAAGTGAAGAAGAGATCCCGGAGCAATGCTGCAGGGTATTCCCAAGTGTAGCTCGGGGTTACCGCTTGTGGTGCTGAAACTTTACCCCCAGCTACACTCGGGAATACCGCCAGGGAGGTTAAAAACGTTTAATACTCAAGTGATGCTCCAAATGCACTCACATTTTAAAACTGAATATAAAGCCTTTCTGTAAATAAATCAGGACTCCTTAAACTTGTTCCAATAGCCCTTCTGACAATTCCACCTAGGCAGGCACAACTGATCAGCACTGGCAGTTTATCCATCCATCCATGAATGTGAGCTTGGAGGAAGTTAAGTAGGGATCATCATCGGGAAGCATATGATTCCATGAAAATTGGTGTTTAAACCACCTTATGTGAGTGTAAGGAAGGTTTTTTCTTGGTATTTTTTATTTTTGATCATCATACAGTATTATACCATTGGCATTTTTTCTTTTATATTTTATATTGCCCTATGTGGAAATATCTGGGAAGGAGAGTCAGTGAGAAATCGTTTAAGAGTATTACAACATCTGAGGATACCACACCCCACTGGCATGCTTGTCTTTTTGTCTCTTAAAGCTATATTAGCTCGAAAATTCACAGTATTTGGTGAGAGTGGAACAAATGTTTTTTTTTTCACTGAAGATTTGAGCACGCTGGAAAATTTATGAAGTTTGTGTTAGAGTTCTATATATTTTTTTTCGTCACAAATTTTTGGGACATTGGACTTTAATTTGGGACTTTTGTTTGTTGGACTTTAATACATAATTTTTCACAATTTGTATTATTTGTATTATTTGCGCTGTGTCACTTTATTAGTATATTTTGATGTTCAGTCATTTTTTGAACAGCAGCATTTTTTTTAATTTATTGTTTATTCCTTTGGTGCAAGATTTCAATATACTTCATACATAATGTATGGTTCAAATCGCACCGCACACAATTCGCATGTGATTTGCGCAGGAATGCGGTGCGTTTCCCATGCGATACACATGCGATGTACCGCACCGCATGAGTGTGAACTCAGCCTCAATGTGCAAATCAGTAAGAATTAAAAAAAAAGATACAGACATTTGACCACCATCCACCATGTAATGTCTAAGGGCCACTTTTGACCTCACTATTATATTCTGCAAAGCACTACATAAAAGGAATGTTTACTTTGACATGCCTCCAGTCATTTACAAACACTACATGAATTTCTTTCTGTTCTGTTTAAGCCGTAATTTAATTGCAACAATAGAGTTAGATTGCATTTAGAGAGAAAAAAAATTAAATATTTCCTGCGCTTTAATATGCATTTCAAATTTAATTATCATACCTATTATTTCACCAGTAAAGTGAATACAATAATGTCCAAAGTGTTGGTTAACCAATGTCAATTACTCTACTTATCCAGTAATTGACTGCCGTAATATGAGAGACTAGAAGTGTTTGCTGTGTAGAAGAGCTTGATGGGCATAATATTCGTCATGTAGATTTGGTTAGGACTGTAAATGTATTAGATTTCATTGCATTATGCACAATGATAATACATAATTAGTTATACACCTGCTGTATGGGTCATGATTATTTTTGCTGTCTAATAATTTAGTACAAACAGACCATTTTTCTTAGCATCAATTACTTGCTAAGTGTCTTCCAGTCTTTTAACTATTTCACTGCCAGCATAGCCTTTTGCATAGAAAAGTGTATCCCAAATGAATGGGACATGTGCCACTTGTGATTTACATCACCAACAGAGGTGTTACATAACTGGACTCAAGGTTTATTGGCAGGACAGGTTTGTGGGAGAAGTTATTACCTCCAATCAGCTGTTAGGCACATGTACAACATATTGATTTAAGGTGGATCTTCTGTCTGGCACCCCGGATCCCCTTCTTGCCTAGGCAAGAATGTCATCTCCTCTACTCTGAAGCCCCCTGGGATATGCATGTCACATATCCCAGCAGAGGCATCCCTAGGGTTGGTGTCACCCGGTGCGGTAACACGTGGTGTCACCCCTCCAGAGAGGAAGGAGTGGTGCCGGTGTAACAGTAAAATGAGTATCCCGACCCGTGAAGATATGTATCCCCTGAAGCAGCTGCGCATTACAGTTTCCAGCCATTCTACAATAATCTGTGCACTTGTTTCCAAACAAATCTTATTGCCCTTGAATTGAATGACAAACATCACATTGCCCACATTTTCTCACCTTTTTTACAATTCCTTTAGGGCTTTTTTAAACTTAAATTCACTAAATTTCTAACTCTTCAAAAATGCTGCTGCTATTGTGTTTGTACAGGCATTAATGAGCTTTAGTATGGGCGTTTTACAAGTGTTGAAAATTATCCCAAATGCCCTATGTGCGGTTTTGAGGCGATTTATTGGAGTTTTACAAGTGTTAAAACTGCATAACAAACTCTTAATGGTATTAACGCCCCGAAAAAAGGCCTGCCAGGGTATTTGAGGAGTGTCACAATAGACTTGAATCAGAGGCGTTGAAAGGCTTTAACTCATTCTTGACTCGACATGAGGCTTCAATTTTGAAGCGAGGTGAGGCTAACACTTCATGTTTTGATATTGTGAACAGCACTGTGTGCTGCCCATAGTATAATTTCCATAGGCATTTGAGGGGCGTTAAAATTGCCCCCCCTCAAACGCCTGCTTTCAAAGTTAGTGTGAACTAGACCTTATACTGTTTCTCATCCTTATCAAATCAACTCTTTACCAAGAGGTCCATCAGCTAGGTCATACATCTGTATGTACTACTGGAATACCTATCCACAAACTTTGTTGTTTCAGAATCCTTTTGCATAGGAAAGCTGTCACTCTTCCCTCTGTTGATCTGAAGGTTCTTCTGATATCCATACAACTTGTTTTGGAGCCTCTTTATATGCTTATTGAGACATCTACTTACATTATTTGCTATGCTCTTTATTGTGGAATGACGGTTCCATCTAGCTGGCGGCCACAGATACTTTTGACTGAGGGGTCCCCTTCCATCCATTCTTGAACCAATTGCTCGGGTTGTCTTTCATTGGCCTTATGTGCAGTCATCAATATTACCAACCAAAACTTATACTTTGTCTCCCTGAAGAAGCGAGCCTTGTCCCGTGAAACGCGTTGGAGTAACGAACAAGCGTTCAGCTGTATCAAATATGTTGGAGCAACCTACAAGTACTACTTTGTACCAACGATGTTGAGCTTCAATCTGTTTCATGTGTTAGTGTATGTATTAGTAGGCTACACTTTGTAGTATTGTTTGTTTTTGTATTCGGGCCCAATATGCCCTATGTGTCCTAATACTATGTTCCACCATTATGGTGGCTTTTTTAATTAATTTAATTAATAAAAGTAATCTTATATTTTGCTGAGTTTTTTCTAATGTATGGTATGGTACTTTTTAAACCCCATTAGCTTTCTTGGTTAGGGTCATATTCACTTTATTTACAATTTCTTTAACTTTTTTATTAGCATACGTACGTTGAAGGGTGAGGCTATACACCCTTAATCCTTCTTCTTTCCTATGTTAACAAGTCATTTCTTCTGCAAAGTTTCCTTTGCTTTTACTATATACTTTAGCCAAACATTTGGTATTGTACCCTTTATGTTAAAACCTATTCTTTAACCTCAGGGCCTGAAACTTAAAATCCTCATTACTTGAACAGTTTCTGTGAGATATTGACCAACCAGCATCCTGTCAATTAATAACCTTAGATTAAAACTACTCGCTGCTGGTTATTAGATGTGGTGGGTTTTAAGTAAAGATGTGTTTTCATGCTCCCAATTTCTGTAGCTTATATCTCCAGATCCAAGAAGACAACTTTCATGCATTCAATGTGGGCATGACCTTTTTATTCTGGTTATAAGAATTTAGGATCTTAATGAAATCTTTAAGTACCTGCTCTGCCTCTTTAAAAAAGCAACAAATTATCAATACTTACCTGTAGCAGGTAAGTACATGGCATAGGTAATGCCTCAATCCATCATCTAAAAAATAAAATTGCCATTCCCAGTCCCTCAGATTCAGGTTTGCATAGGCAGAAGCAACATTTAGTGCTCATAGTGAAACTCTGAATCTGGAGGAAATGGGATCGAGCGAACATGAACTTATCATAAGTAAGAAAAAACTCCAATAAATCTAACTCAATCTTGTTGAACAGTTAGACAGCACTCCCTTTATTGGGGATTTACGCAAATAGAGTTCTTTCTCTGTGTATCCTCAGGTACATCTATTTCATATACCAATGTCAATAAACTTACATAGATAAGGTGCGTAAAGGCAGTGTAAACATTTAAAATTCCCGCGGTGTCAGACTACCGGCCGGAACGAGGTGACATCAGAGAAAGCTCTGCCCGATGCGTGTTTCTCCAAAAATGGCGTCCTCTGGGATTGGAGAACAGACTGTTCTCCAATCCCAGAGGATGCCATTTTTGGAGAAACACACGTCGGGCACAGCTTTCTGTGATATCAACTCGTTCTGGCCAGTGGTCTGACACCGCAGGAATTTTTAAATGTCTACACTGCCTTTATGCACCTTATCTATGTAAGTGCAATACTTTAATAAATTCTTTGCTGGTTTATCGGGTCGCACTATGAAGTTTCCTTCTTCTGTTTTAAACCTTTCCTTACATGATGTGGAGAGCTGTCTGATGTGATGGATTCCTTCAAGAGAACCTACAGTTGTCCATTCATTTCCTATTCATCTCTTTTGATACGGCTAACAGGGGTGTCAGTGTGGGATCTGAACACCATCTGCTTGTTTGATCTCTTGATTGGAGATCAAAGTGTCTGGTAAGAGGCTGATTTTTTCTTTTGTGTCAAGCATTTGTGGACACCTATGCACTTTCCCTTGGAGGATTCTTTAGCACACAGCACTGTGTTATTGGATTTTGGGACTTTTCACTATTTAATATATGAATGTGGATTTATATAATTTCAATTAATTTATGCACATTTTTTATGTAGCAGTATTTATTTTATTTATTATTGTTTATGATTTTTTTAGTGTACAGTGCACTCATTTTTTATATGTTTTGTATTTTCTGGTGTTCAGGGAAAGAGTAGCAGCAGTTCACTAATTTTTTCACTGTTGTTTTCAGAAATATATATTATTTTTTTCACACATTTACTC